CACGGGCGACGCGATGGCCTCCATGGGGCACTCCATGGCCTCCATGGGCCACGACATGGCCAAGGGGCTGGAGCACGGTGCCAAGGTCGCCCTGGCGGCGACCGCCAAGGCAGGCGACCTAGCCGGACACGGACTGGGCGTGGCGGGACACAAGGTGAACGTAGCGGCAAAGGCGGCGGGCCACGCAATCCCCGAGGCGGCGAAGGACATCGAAGTCGGCGCCAAGGCGGTCTTGCACAACTCATCCAAGGTCATGGCCAAGGCAGCTAACGCCTCCGAGCACGTCTTTACTGACGGCTTCCGTGCTGCCGCCCACGGCCTCGGCCAACTCGGACATGGCGCCAAAAACGTCGGCGAAGTCGCCGCTGCCGGAACTGTAGTCGCCGGTCGTACGATCGGCCGCAAAGTAAGTGCCGGTGCCAGCGACCTCAAGCACGGCATCAAGGCAGCCGCTAAGCCGGAGCCACACGTCCCTCGCCTTGACCGAAAACCGCTTGACAGCAAGACCGCCAAAGGCAACCTCGGAAAGGCCGTCGCTCGGGTGGCCTCCGTCCAGAAACAAGTTGACACCGGGAACAGGCCTGCCGATTTCGAACAGGCCAAAGAGGCAGCCAAGGCCCGCCTTGGCTCCTTCGCCAAGGGACCCACCGCACCGACCCGCAACTTCCTAGGCGCTCCCGCACGCAAGATGGCCGACAAGGTTCCTAATCAGACGGCCGCCAAACCGGCAACCCACCTCATGGCCCCCGGTCGCGCGTCTCGCCACCAGGCCTCGCCCACCTCCGTTTCTTCGGCCTCTTCGCGGACCTCTGTCTCTTCGGCCTCCTCCATCTCGGCCTCCTCCGTCTCGGCCAGCTCCATCTCAGCCACCTCCGTCTCGGACTCCTCCGTCTCGGCCTCCTACCTCTCGGCATCGCCCGCTGCCGCCTCCCCGTCCTCGGTCTCGGCCTCACCCTACTCCGTGACCCCCAGCCAAATTTCCGGTCGCAGCGGCTACACCTCGCACGTCTCCGCCGACCTTGGCTCGGCAGACGGTGTCTCCGCACGCGACGACATCAGCGAAGTCAGCGACCGCTTCGACGACGACAAGGTACCTACCGTCGCCCTCGCGCGATCCCCCGTCTCCGTCGCCGTCTCCCCGGCGCCCACCAACCGCACCGGAGCCAGTCAAGTCAGCGGCCAAAGCACGATGAAAGCTCCCTCTTCAGTGAGTGCCAGCCCCATGACCAGTTCACGAGCCAGCCCGATGGCGAGTCCGATGACCAGCTCTGCTGCCAGCCCGATGGCTAGCTCACGGGCCAGCCCGATGGCAAGCCCGATGGCCAGCTCTGTTGCTAGTCCTGTGGCTAGTCCGATGGCCAGCTCTGCAGCCAGCCCGATGGCCAGCTCACGGGCCAGCCCGATGGCCAGGTCTGTTGCTAGTCCTGTGGCTAGTCCGATGGCCAGCTCTGCAGCCAGCCCGAGTGCGGTTGCGAGTCCGGCGGCAAGTTCATACTATGAGACGTGGGAGGAAGACAGAAGTGCGCCACTCGTCCCGGCGCCTTCGCCCATCGTGATGGATGTGGAGGCGCCGATGGACATGGAGGCTGCCTCGCCGGCGGCCTCACCAGCGATGGCCCCGACGCCGTCGCCGATGTACCTGGACGCGTCTGACGCGGCGCAGGCACGTGGCGAAGTGAA